GCGAAACGCCTGGCCCTACCGACACGCCCCGGGGTGCGACAGGGAGAAGCGATTCCTAAGGACAAGGGATGGAGTTTCTGGGAACGAGCTTCTTTGGGACGTCTCCCCGCCTTCTAGGGCCTCTGGGCGAACTCTCGCTGCGGCGGCTGGATCCGCCTCGAGATCCCGGTCAGAGCGCGCTCCAGGGAGGCTCCTGGGCGGCGATGGTCGACATTGTTGAACGCTTCCAAAGAATCCGCCCCCATGCCGCAAGCTGGAGGGGCTCGAACCATACACCAAATCATCTGGTCGGCCAAGAAGCTTGGTGTACGGACGCCCCAGCTTCCCAGCATGTGGGATGTTGGAGCGTCTATGCACCGAATGCCCAACCCGGGCTCCTTGGGTACATTGAGCGCTTCCGATAAGCGCTAAGCGGGGTCCCTTCGAGCTCTCTGAATCGAGCTTTGCGGATACATCCTCTCAGGGGCGCACACTGGCGCGTCTCAACGCTTCCGGGACTCGCCAGCGCGACTTCAGAGGCCTCGGGATGCATCCCCAACGTGCCCCAGCACTCCCCGAGGTCCGCGCGGAGTTCTTGGATCTGCGCTGGAGACCCCCCTCCCTGGCATGCGGAGCGCGCCAGGTGCCTCGCAGCGGACCCAAGAAGTCCGCACGGAGCGCCCAAAGCTCACGTTTGTGTCGCGTGTTCTTCTTCGAAGGATGGTCCGTGGGGCCTCGGAGCCGCTCGAGAGCCCCCGGGGCCGGCCCGGGAGGCTATCAAATTGCCCAGATCCCAGCCGTACAATTGCGGCACGTTCGCTCTACATGTCTTGGGATCGCCCATAGACGACCGACCCAAGAGGCTCCCAAGATCGCTCAAGAACGACCCAAGAGCCCCCCAGGAGGGGCCCAAGAGGCCCCCGAGATAGCCCTAGGAGGGACCCCAAAGGGGGAATTCGAACTGACATTTGGAGCTTTCCACCGGAAGATGCCCCCAAGAACCCCCCAGATGCCAACCGGACGCCCCTAAGGGGCCCTAAGAGATCCCTAAGAATCCCCGAAGAATTCCCCAAGACATGAGCCCCGCGACCCTGACACGGTGGAGCATGGGCCAAAGGCAACTAGATCCGCCGCCCCCAGTTGATTTATCACAAGGGTGCCCGGCGTGCATAAGTTCGAATGGTTGTTTGTTGTTTTGATGACTACCCCTGAGGCATCTGTCCATTGCGCGGGCCACCCAGAAAGCTAGACGGCCCAAGAGAGTCCAAGATGCCTCCAAGTTCGCCCAAGAAGCCTCCAAGACGGCCAAAGAAGGCCCCAGAGGCCCCCCAAGAGGCCTCCAAGACGGCCCAAGAAGTCTCCAAGAGGTCGTCCAGGAAAACCCAAAGAGGCCAAAACCATTGATTATCCTTCGGTGTTTGGTTGATTTCGACATTCGCCTCTCGGCGGCCATCCGAAGGCCTAAGAAGGCCCAAGAGGCCTCAAAGATCGCCCCCACAGCGCCCGAGAGGCCTCCATGATGGCCCTATAACGACCCAAGTGGCCCGCAAGACGGCCCCAAGAGGGCCCCAAGACAACCCACGAGGCCTCCAAGACGCCCAAGGTGGCCTCCAAGACAGCCCTGGAGGCCCTGAGAAGGCCCAAAGAAGGCCCAGAGAGGCCCCCATAGACGCATTCCGACTGCGTCAGACGTGCCAGGAACGCCCTACGACGGCCAAAGAGGCCCACAAGAGGTTTCCAAATGCCCCCAAGAGGCCCAAGGAGGCCTCCAAGAGGCCTCAAGAGGCCCCCAGGAAGCTCCCAGGAGACCCCAAGAGTGCACCAGTGGGCTCCCAAGAAGCCTCCTCTTTTTTTCTCCTCCCTTTTCCTCTTCTTCTTATCCTTACTATTATATGTATCATGGTGGTGTTTCTTCGTATCGGTAGTAGTAGTAGTAGTAGTAGTAGTAGTAGTAGTAGTAGTAGTAGTAGTAGTAGGAGTAGTAGTAGTAGTCGTAGTAGTAGTAGTAGTAGTAATAGTAGATGTAGCAGCAGTAGTAGTAGGAGTAATAGTAGTAGTAGCAGCAGTAGTAGGAGTAGTAGTAGTAGTGGTCGTAGTAGTAGTAGTAGGAGTAGTAGTAGTAATCATACTATCACGAGTATGATTATGATTCATCTGGTTATTAATAAAAGTTGTATTCGCATTAATATGCTTAGTCATACTTTCCTTCTCTTCCTAGCACGATTACTGTAGTCATAATATTACGGTTCGTATCACTGATACGAATACTATTACACTTACTCGCAACATCAATGTTACGATTACTCTAATGTTTATTCATATGATTACACAAACTACTCTTCAAATGATTACGGTTAAAAATAGTATTACTAGTACGATTACAAGTAGTACATATTTCAATGATACGATTAATATTGCTATTAACGATATTATGGATATTACGATTAACCATAAAGTTAATGGTATTACCAATAACATTCAAAACTACTAATACCATTGCGATTTCGATTGCCACCACTAACACTCTTGCCATTACAAGTTTTATGAATATACATTGCCCTGGGGGGGTCCGAATTCGCGCCGGCGCCGAAGACGCTATCTGAAGACGCTATTCCCTGCGACAACGCGTCCCTGTGAAGACGCTATTCCTTGTGGAGACGCTATTCCCGGTGCAGACGGTGAAGACGCTATTCCGGGTGAACACGTTATTCCGGGTGAAGACGCTATTTCCGGTGAAGATGCTTTCTGCGGACACAGACAGCACTTCTCCCATGAAGACGCCATTCCCTCTGAAAACGCGATTCCTGGTGAAGACGCTACTCGCTGTGAAAACGCTATTCCGGGTGAAGACGCTATTCCCTATGAAGACGCTATTCCTTGTGAAGACACTATCCCGGGTGAAGACCCTATTCCCGGTGAAGACGCTATTCTCGGTGAAGACGCTATTCCCGTTGAAAATGCTATTCCAAATGAAGACGCTATTCCGGGTGAAGACGTTATTCCGGGTGAAGACGCTATGCCTTCTGAAGACGCTATTCCGCGTGAAGACGCTCTTCCCGGTGAAGACGCTGTTCCCGGTGAAGACGCTATTCCTTGTGAAGACGCTATTCCGGGTGAAGACGCTGTTTTGGGTGAAGACGCGATTCCGGGTGCAGACGCCATTCCAGCTATCCCGGGTGAAGACTCTATTCCAGGTGAAGACGCTTTTCCCTGTGAGGACGCTATTCCCTGTGAAGACGCTATTCCCTATGAAGACGCTATTCCCTCTGAAAACGCTATTCCCGGTGAAGACGCTATTCCCGGTGAAGACGCTATTCCGGGTGAAGACGCTATTCCAGGTAAAGACGCTATTCCCGGCGAAGACGCTATTCCAGGTGAAGACGCATTCCCGGTCAAGACGCTATTCGCGGTGAAGACGCTATGAAGACGCTGTTCAAGTGAAGACGCTATTCCCAGTAACAAACGCTATATTCCCGGTGAAGATGCTATTCCTGACGAAGACGCTACTCCTTGTGAAAATGCTCCTTTTCTTCACCATGCCCAGTATTCAACGTGCCCCCTCCAAATCTTAATTTGAAAATGCCATTTTACTCTACGCTTTCCGCGCCTAACACAACGCGTGCCCCATCTGCTGTGTGACACCCTCTGCTAGGCAAGATTGTTTTCGTTTCACACTGGCCATCGAAAGAGAAATGTGCGCACCGTGCATGCCGCTCGAAACCAAATCTGATCGACTCGTCTGACAATTCGTCGAAATGAGCTCGCATGCACCCAACTGAGGCACATCAACATGGCTGATAAAATTGCGAAAACATGAATTCTGTATAGCAGATCAACTAACATAACAATATGTTCGCTCGAATGTGAGGTTCTCGCACGCCTGACGCTCTCAATCCTCTTGCACCTCCACACCTTGGACACGCTTTCCCACATGGCCCATACAACTCAGAAACTGAAACTGCACAGACGGCTCGTAAGGTTGGCACTCGGGAATTGGCAACGGGCGGCCGACACCGTAGAAGTAACCACAAGCACCTCCAAGTCCACCCGCGCTGCCAGAGCGACGATTCAGCACATAGCCAACTGTAAACTCTTGTACATTGCCTGCCTCGTTGAACTTCATGCTGCACGCCTCAGGAGGAAAAATGAGAGCCTTGCCAGCGGCTGGCTCCCCCACGAACTCAGCAGTATTGGTGCCAGTTTTGCGCGTCGGGAACCAGACGCGATTCGGCTCGAATGGGTCGACGCGGAAGAGTGGTAGTTGGGATTGGCGTCCGGAAAAGCGCCCTCTATCTCGAAGGTGCCAAGAGCGCCCAGGTACTGCTTTTTACCGAGGGTCCCGACGACCGGCGCGCAGAACTCAAAGTTTTCGGCGAAGTCCGCGCCCGGTTCACGGGCGCCGACCCCGGCTGCCAGGACCTCTTTGCAGCGCCTGAGAAGGTCCTCGGGCTTGATGGCAAAGGTGCCCTCAGCAAGCATGGCCTCCTCGTCCGCGCACTGCGCGGCAAACTCTGCGCCCCGCGCCTCAGCAGCTCGAGCTGCCCGCCTGCTCTGCTTCCGCGCCCTCTTGCGGCCTTGGCTGCCGGCCCAAGCCACGCCGCCGAGCGCAAGCAACCGCTGCGCAGACGCACCAGAGGCGCCCGAGGGCCCTGGCATACACTGTAGAGGAGGCGTGGCGCCTGACAGCTGCCGAGGCTGCACGCGCGGAGCCCGTGCGCCCACAGGCTGGTTGATTGCAGGCCCAAGCCAGGCAACCGGCGCATCCCCAGCCACGGCAGCTTGGCCGCCAGCTTCAGGGCGCGGCCTGAACAGAACCTGCTGCGAGCAGAGACCTGCTAGGCAAGACCCGCCCCCGAGTTGATTAAAAACATAATCGCTAGACATGCCCTATCTGCTGTGCAACGCCCTCTTCTGGGCAAGCCCCCTACTGGGGGACCCCTTTCCCAAGTTGATTAAAAGGGAATCCTTGATGCTTGACGCGCCCCATCTTGCTGCCCGGCACCCTCTGCTAGGCAGGATCCCTCCCCAAGTTGAAAAAACAAACCCTTGATGTTAGACGTGCCCCATGTGCTGCGCGGCGCCCTCTGGTAGGCCAGACCCCTCCCCAAGTTGATTGCAAAAAAATCCTCGATGCGCCCCTTTGCTGCGCGGCGCCCTTTGCTGGGCAAGACCCCTCCCCAAGTTGATTTAAAAGAATCCTCGACGCGCCCCCTCTGCTGCGCGGCACCCTTTGTTGGGCAATGCCCCCCCCCAAGTTGCTTGCGCGGCGCCCTTTGCTGGGCAAGACCCCTCCCCAAGTTGGCCCCAAAAGAGTCCCAGACGCGCCCCATCTGCTGCGCGGCGCCCTTTGTCGGGCAATTGCCCTCCCCAAGTTGGTTAAAAAGAGCATTTGGTGCTAGGCGTGCCCCATCTGCTGCGCGGCACCCTTTGCTCGGCAATGGCCTCCCCCAAGTGGATCTTTAAAACGGAATCCTTGGTGCGAGGCGCGCCCCATCTGTTGCGCGGCACCTTCCGCTAAGCAAGACCCCCCCCCAAATTGATGAATTACCCCAGTGCGACCCCGCCTAGAAGTTGGAACCCTAGGAAAGCAGCATTAGTTGCTATGATATGCTATGCTATGATATGCCATGGCATGCTGCGCTTTGATATGATATGCTATGTTATGCTGCGCTATGCGATGCTATGATATGATATGATATGATATGTCATGCTACGCTGTGCTATGCTAAGCTATGATACGATATGATATGATATGATAAGCTGCGCTATGCTATGCTATGTTATGATATGATGTGTTATGCTATGCTATGCTGCGCTATGCTATGCTATGCTGCGCTATGCTATGTTATGCTGCGCCCTGCTATGCTAAAATATCAGCGAAGCTAAGCTGAAGGTACGTTAAGCTAAGAAAAACCTGAGCTAAGATGAAGCTAAGCTAAGCTAGTATGAAATAAGCTAAGCTAAGATGAGACAAGCAACGCTAAGCTGAGGGGACGAAACTGGGGGAACCGCGGGGCGGATACTGGGGGGACCGCCAGGGGCGGCGTGCACTGCCCGGTCCCTTTAAGAAAGAGAGTAAGATCCCTTCTAGGCAGAGCCTAGGTAGGGAAAAGAGCATCCTTGGTGCTAGACGTGCCCCATTGCTGCGCGGCACCCTCTCCAAGGTGAGCCCCTTTGCTGCGCGGCACCTTCTGCTAGGCCAGACCCTTCCCCAAATGAATTAAAACAGAATCCCTGGTGCTAGACTCGCCCCTTTACTGCGCGGCACCTTTGCTAGGCAATGCCCCTCGCCAAGTTGATTAAAAAAAGAATCTCCTCGGTGCTGGACGTGCCCCCCTGCTGCGCGGCAGCCTCTGATAGGCAAGAGCCCTTCCCAGGTTGATGTAAAATTAATCATTGGTGCTAGGCGTGCCCCATCGGTTGCGCGGCACCTTCTGCTACGCAAGACCCCTCCCCAAGTTGATGAAAAAATCCTTTGTGCTAGATGTGCCCCTGTGCTGTGCGGCACCCTCTCCAAGGAGAGCCCCTTTGCTTCGCGGCACCTTCTGCTAGGCAAGACCCTTCCCCAAGTTAATTAAAGCAGGATCCTTGGTGCTAGACATGCCTTTTGCTGCGCGGCACCCGATGCTAGGCAAGACCCCTCGCCAAGTTGATTGAAAAGAATCACCGGTGCTAGACGCGCCCCTTTGCTGCGCGGCACCCTCCGATTGCCAAAAGCCCTCCCCAGGTTCATTTAAAAAGAATCATTAAAACAAAAACCGGTGAGCCACTGGCGCCTCCTGGGGCCTCCCGGAGCTCACTGGGGTTTCCTGGGGCCTCCTGGTGCTTTCTGGGGCGCGGCCCCTCCCGGTGCCTTCTGGAGCTGTCTTGGCCCTCTCCTGGGGCGCGAATTCTTTGTGTTAAACGCATGTGCCAATAGATTGGCCTTCTCTTGGGGCGCGAATCCTTTGTGTTTCACGCATGCGCCTACAGATCGGCCTACTCTTGGGGCACGAGTGTTTAATGTTTTACGCGCATGCTTATATACTGGCCGCATCATGGAACGCGAATCCTCAGCCTGTTACGGGATGCCTAGAGATTTGCCCTCTTCTGGGGCACGAATCCTTTGCGTTTTACACATGTGCGTATAGTTGGCTACCCGGGCCGCGCTGGGGGGCACGGTGCTGCCAGACTTTCACCACGAAGCAAGGCTTGGGTCAGTTTCTGCACGCGGCCCATAGCCCGCCGTAGCGATCGCTGGGAGAGCCCAGCATCGCCGGCATCGTCGCCAAGGCAGCAAGCTCCAACCGATGTGAGCACACGGGGCTCCATCTGCTCATCGTCGTGCCAGCTGGGCAAGAGGACAGCGCCTGTGGTCAGTCGCTCCGCCTGTGCATCCTCCTGGCCATGCAGCGGTACACCAGGGGCTCTGTGCATCCCGTGCCAGTGAATGCCCACCGAGAGGCTCAGCGTCCAGAAGCCAGTCCCGTTCCCGATCTTCAGCTCCCTGGCGTGAGGCCTCCCTTGCGGGAGTTGCAGCATCTCGAAATCCTCTAGGTCGCGCGAGTCTTCCAGCGCATCGCACCTGAGGCTGAGCCCTCTAGCGCCGCCTGACTCTTGATCTGCCGCATCCACGCATGGTCAATCGCGTGGCCAGTGACAAGGCGAACGGCTCGGACCGTAGTTGCCGCCAGCACGAACGCCAAGAAGTGCTCCAGGTTGACACGCTGGAACGTCTTGGACAGGTAGGCTCCACAAGCACGATGTAGGACGCCTGGCTGCCGTTCGCGTATGGCCCTAAGATCCCATGGTATGTGTAGCCAGCCTTGCCAACAGGGATGCGAATGGGACGAGAGAGAGTCTGCGAGGTCTCATGCACGCTGTCCGCGTTGTCGGTTGTAGCGCCGAGTGGCGGGCCTCCCACAGCAGCGCCAGCCTGGAGTTCAGCGCCCACGCCAGGGAACTGCGCAGCTTCGTCACGACCTCCACCCTGAAGGTGTCGGTCGCCAGGTTCGCCCCCCGACGCTGCCATCGCAGGAGCAGCAGCCCGGGTGCCGTTCGGCAGCCCCGGAGGCGGCGCCTCGGACCGCATAATAGACCTCGCCTCTGGAACCTCTAGCGGGGTCCAAGAAGCACAAGCCCAGCACGTGCTGCCGACGGTCGGCACGCCACACCGTCCGCAGGCAGAGAGGGCACCAGCAGCTCGAATGGCGGCCAGCCCATCTGCCCAGCTCTTCCACTGCTGCGCACACTCGGACCTCGTTGTGACTGCCTCTAGCCGCTGTTCGAAAAGGGCCAGTCGCGCAGAGATGTCCGTAAGCTGTTGTGTCACGCGCGCAGCCTGGAGGGCCAGTCTATCGAAGAGAGCCATGGTTTCCGAAGATCTGCGCTGGCCAGCCGCCGACGGGAGGTGCGGAGACGCCTGCGCCGCCGTGGCGCCCCTCCATCGCGCCGCTGCACTGGCTCTCTGTCGCCTCCGCCGTGCCGAGGTTGTCTCCATATGCCGGCCAGCTGGCGGCGGCGGCCTGCCTGCGGCCTCCGCATGGGGCCCGCGAGCGGCGGCAGCCACCCAGCCGACTGCAGAAGACGCCGGCACGTCGCGGCGCGGGGCCCAGACGGCGGCGCAGCCCCAGACGAGGAAGAGAGCTGCGCGGCGGCCTGAGCCCAAGGGTCGAAGGGCCACCAGCGGGCCTGTCGCCCTCCAGACAGTGGCCGGCGGCCAGAGTGGCCCGCGGCGGGCGCCCCTCGCGCCTGCCAGCCGCCGCTGCCGCTGGCGCCAGCGGCCATGCCGGGAGGGAGCTGAAGGAAAGAAGAACGGAGACGTAGAGTGCGGGACTGGGAAACGATGGCCTCCTGGCGGCACGCGGCTTGATCCAGAGCGGCTTGAGCCAGGCTACGGTCACTGGTGGGGACACGCGAAGCATCAAGAATTTACTTAGGGACCGCACTTTCGTCATACAGGAATCAAGCTCTCGCCTTGGCGCTTGCTGCCTGGGTGCTCTCGTCCAACAATGTGTCAAACTCCTGCACCATGCAATTCCTACCGCAATCCCCCTCCCTTCTCTCTCCTCATTCTCCCCGTCTGGCTCCTTTCCTCAATTCCTCTACCCTCCCTCACGCCTCCCTCCTCGCTCCTTCCCCGTATTCCGTGTTTGGGCTCCACTTCCCCTGCGTAATCATGCATCAGATTACCCTGTCGGGGTGTACCCAGGGGCTGGTATGAAAACGAATCCCTCCTAAAGGGGGGGCGTTCATGGACTGCGAGGGCGGGTGCAAAGGAAAGGGAGAAACAATGGAAGGACAGAGCAGCTTGTTGCAAGACATCCGGTCCGCCCGTTCGCTCGCTTGGAAGCCCACCCTGCCGCTTGGACGTTCCGCCCTCCCGACCCCCGCCCGTCAAGGTTCGGCCTGCCAAACCCACCCGTCCGGGTTCCGCCCACCCGATCCGCCCGCTTCCGTGCCACGCCCGCCCGACCTGCCCGTCGGGACCCGCCGTCCGCCTGCTGGGAAGCCCGCCCCCCCGCGTCCAGAAATCCGCCCGCCCCGCCCGCCCGTCACGGTCCGCGCGCCCGACAAGCCCGCCAATGTCCGCCCGCCCGATCCAACCCGTTGGGGCTCCTTTTGCACGCCCGCGCCGCGCGCCCGCTTGGAGGTCCTGCCCGCCCGACCCGCTCGTCAGGGTCCGCCCGTCCGCCCGCCCTGCACGTTTGGGTCCGCCCGCTAGCTTGCGAAGCGTTCGCTAAGAAGGCTGGGAAGAGATGCACGAGTCCTACGAAAGGGGTGTCCGCGTTCACAGACAGCGAGGGTGGCAGGCGAAGGCTCCGGGTGCGCATGTGGACGGACACGCGAGCAGACCAGAGCGAAACGTCTTGCAAGGATGGCTGTGACTGCTGTCGTCGTCGCCGCCGCCTCCGCAGCCGCCGCCCTCACTGTCGTCGTCGTCGTCGTCGTCGTCGCCGCCGTCGTCGTCGTCATCGTCGTCGCCGTAGTCGTCGCCTAAGGAGGACGACAGCTGTACGCCGACATTGATCCTGGCTGGGCCCGCCATGGCCCTGGGATTGGTGTGTACAGTAGGAGCTCGACCACAAGAAACCTTCACAAGAAACCCAACCCTGAGACCCCAAGACGTCCACGGGCTTTTGGTGTGGGAACGTCACGCTTCCCGTCGCAAAACCATCGAAACCCAAGAAACCCAGGGCATCCTGGAGGCAAGCAGGGTGCGTCGTGGCATGGGTCTCCACTGTACTCCCTTCTGGTCTGGCCAGGAGGGCCTCGTGCACGGATGCCTGGCCCGGGATGGGGCTGATCAGGATCAGTGTGGGTGCAGGTAAGGGGGCCCTGGGACGCACAAATAAATCGACACAAATCCCAGGATTCATCGTAATTGTCAATTTTTCCTGGGCTTTCGTCCTCCCCCCACTTCCCATAGTTTCCCATCCTTTCCTGGAGCGGACGATTAGTTGTGTCTGTGTGTTTTTCCCCTCCTGAGACGTATCGCTGGGGCCACCCCGACTCAGTACCTTGCCGGCTCCCTGCCACCCCAACCCAAAACCGACGAGAAGCCGCTGCCCCACGAGCAGGGAAAGGACACAGGAGGGCGGGGAATTCGACCAGCGTAAAACGAAGCCAGGACCAGGAGAATCGAACTGGGACAAAGCAGGGACCTCTGAGATCTGGGGGGCCTGAAGAATGCGTGCCAGGCGCCATGGCCGTTCCGATGCCAGGCCCGCCCGACAGCGCCCCGCCGCGATCCCCCGCGTGGACAGCCTGGCGAAGCCGCGAGAGAAACCGCGCACGGCACTGCGGGCAGCCCGCGCAGCAGAAGCGCCGCGCAGACCGAACGGAGCGGCCGGCCGGAGAGCGCGCCGGCCTCTGCTTGGAGGCGACGAGGAAGCTCTTCTGCCGCCCCACGTTGGAGGAGACCTCGCCGCGGCGGGCAGGCGGAGCGGCCCAGGGCCGCAGGAGAGGCGAGGCCGAGAGGGCGAAGAGCGGCAGAGGCGGGGGCCGTGGCGGACAGCGAGGCGCCGCGGCCCGTCGGTGCCGCGGGGACGCGGCTGCCCCCCCCAGAGGCGCGGCGAGCCGTCGGCGAGACCCGCGCAGGAGGGCGGAGGTGATAGGCCCATGTTCCACCACCAATACCATAGGTAGGAGAGGGAGGAGGAGGAGGAGGAGGAGGAGGAGGAGGAGGAGGAGGAGGGAGGAGGAGGAGGAGGAAGGAGGAGGAGGAGGAGGAGGAGGAGGAGGAGGAGGAGGAGGGGAGGAGGAGGAGGAGGAGGAGGAGGGGGGGGGGGGAGAGGGGGGAGGAGGAGGGAGGAGGAGGAGGAGGAGGAGGAGGAGGAGAGGAGGAGGAAGGGGGGAGAGGGGGGAGCAGGAGGACCGCCCTGGGGCACGGAAGCGGCCGACCAGGGGGGTGGGTCGGCTGCGGAGTGACCCCAGGTGCGCGGACGACGGGCCAGCGCGCAGGCCACTGCTGCCGCATCGCACTCAGCGATCGCAGGGTCCCAGTGGGCCCGCACCAGACACTCCTGCGAAAGGTCACTCGTACGTGTACAGTGGAGGCCAGTCCACAAGAAACCCAACCCTGAGACCCCCAGGACGTCCATCGGCTTTTGGTGTGGGAACGTCACGCTTTCCATTGCAAAACCATCGAAAGCCAAGAAACCCAGGGCACCCTGGAGGCAAGCAGGGTGTTTCTTGGCATGGGCCCCCCCATAATCGAGATGGGGTGGAGGGGGAGGGGGGGGGGACGAAAACTGCGAGGAACCCAGGCGCGACATCTTCTCGAGTCGCCCGAAATATAGGCCCTCCTGGCTACCACCCCCCTTCACCCCCCGGCCTCGCGCACGAGGCTGCCCTCACCGAGAGGCCCCCTGTCGGGTGCTCTCCAAGGCGCACCCGGCGGCCAGCCCAGGGAATGGCAGGCCTGCGCTCACCAAGCGGAACGGCGGGCACTTCTGGACGGCGGGCCCCAGGGACATCCGAGGATATGACTTGTTCCGTGCGCGCCCCCAAGAGCCGGGGATCTACTGACCCGGGTCAATCCAAACCTGGGTCGGTCAGGCCTCGCGGCATCCTGCAAGATCCTGCCAGATCCTGCAGGATCCTGCACCCAAACCCGGGTCAGTGCGCCCTTGGCTCGGCAGGATCCTGCAGGATCCGGCGCTCCCACTGACCCCGCTTGCAGTGACCCCCGCCTCGCAGCGCCGAACGGCCCCGAGGGGGGAGGGGGGGCGTCAGCCCCCCGTTCGCTGCACCGCGCCCCTCTGGCGTCGTCACGGCAGGGGCCCGCCTCGTCGTCACTCGCGAGCAGCCCAGCGTCGACGAGCAGGGAATGAAGGGAGGCCCACTCGGCGTCCTTGTGGAAGGCCTTCCTCTTCGCCCACTCCTCCTGGGCCTCGACGGGTGGGCTACACGTAAGAGTGACCCTGTGCCAAGAATACGTTCGCACGGACATGAGTACAACACATAACCTGCATACGTAGGAATACACACACATACATGTACAAATAATGCCTGTGCCTCGAGTCAGGGGAGAACGGTAG